CGGTTACTTAGCTAGGGTTTCATCGAAACCTTAAGTGAGATGCTCAGCCACTCATGGAGGTAGGAGAAAATGAGATGAAATACATGGAGATGGTAGCCTCCATTGATGATCAAGCTCCAAGTGCAAGTCCTCTCTCCAAAACCAGCGTAGCCTCCTTGCCTGAACTCCCAAAAATCAAAACATTAGGAAAACCTTTTTTTTTTTTCTTTTTATTCTCAAAAACGGAGTTAAAATTTTGAACATACACTTCAAGGTACCTCGGCCGTTTGAGTAGTGGTGGGCCACACGTGCGGTGGGCTGGTGGGCGGTGGACCTTGGTCACTCAGGGGGAGGACCTGCTTATGTGCCATTTTTAGCCTAAAATTGCATGTTGCTCACCAACCTGCACACCTACATGAAACTGATCATATTTACCAAATAGATGCACTTCAAGAACTATACATATAACTTGAAGTGGCTTCAATGTGATACATTTTGGCCCACATCACATATCATGACATGAATAATGTGAACTATTGCTTTAAGATCACAAAGTATTTAAGACTTCCGTTATGTTTTCCTTTAGCCTATCTTTTAACTTATTGAACGGCTTAAAGTACTCTCGATTTTTCCCCTGCAATAAGGTCATTTTTTTATTTTATTCTTTTACAGAGGAAATAAGGAAAAAAGGAAACAAAAGCAAAACAAAACAGTGCACTAAACATCTCCAACCAAAGAACTATTCTGTTAGCTAACCACAATAAGATGTTGAAATCACTTTTTTTGCCACAAAATGCTAATGCTTCACAATTTCGATTCTCAAATTGCTTGGTTTAGTTCAACTCCCCTTTCAAGTAAAGAACATTTAAGGGTATGTGGGGGAAATTCTCTGGGTTAAGATGAGATGATAAAAGTATTTATTATTTAGTCCTTAAATTTCACCTCCAATTCATTTCTTCTGTCATAAGAAGGAAAGCAGATTTGATAAATTGTGCAAAATTATTTAAAATTGATAGGCGAAAATTGGGTCATGTACTTCCATTACATGTTTCAAAAAAACATGAAACATATTTTAAATGCTTTTGATAAATTAAACTGCATGTATTTAAGTAATGAGAAAATTACAGCAAATTCCAACAAAGAGAAATTTCTTTGTTTTTAAACATACAAATAACTAATTACAAATTGAAGCATACAAATTCAAAATTGAGGACAATTCCAATTAAACTATTGAAATTTTTAAAAAACAAATAAATTTTTTCTATTTTTAAATGTAGAAATCTCACAGTTGAATTGAGGACAATTACATTCAATTAATGAAAAATTATCAAAACTAAGAATACAAAAATTTCTATGTTTTACAAAATTACAAAAACTTTCGTGTGGATAGCTGTCTAATGGGGTTTGCTCCAAAGGCTAAAAACTTCCCTTACATGTGAAAACCCCACCTATCTACCTTACAAACTAAGAAAAGCACAACATTAGCCACATCGGGCTAATGCCAAAGGGAAAATCGGGTTTAAAAAAATGCAAAAAATAGATTTATACTTCAAAAGAAAATTGATATTTGTCGCTAAATAGATTTTAGGGTAAGCTATCCATTACATGTAAATCCCCACCTATCTATCTTACAGATTAAGAAAAGCACAACATTAGCCACATCAGGCTAATACGAAAGGGTAAATCGGGTTAAAGAAAATCCAAAAGGTGGAATTGTCCTTCGAAAGAAAAATGATACTTATCGCTAAATAGATTTTAGGGTAAGCTATCAATTAATCCCTCTAACATTGATTTAAATCAGATACTCAAAAGTTTCAAGGTCATTGATAGTTTATCATAAAATTTTCCATTGTTTTCGCCTTTAATGTGGATCCACACACCAAATGTCACCATAAGATATAAGAGGAGTTTTAGGAACTAAATTTTTTTTCAAAATTTCTAAAAGTAAAAATTTTGTTACAAAAAATATTAATAGACCAATTCAATCGTCATGTGAGACATCACAAAAAGTTTGTTTTGAAAAGTCAAACAAATAAGTAATATAATTTTAAAAATATCGTTAAAAATTACATTTTTTACGAACAGAACAACTTCAAAGATAATAATTTATTACTAAATTTTGTTCTTATAAGTACAATAATGATATTTTTTACAACGAAGATATTTTTTTTCTAAAAATAATTTATTTCCTAAATTTTTGCATCTAAAATCTTAATTTATTATATCACTAATTTTTCTAATCCTAGGTTGCATGGGAAAAGGAGCCTGAAAAATAACATCTAATTCTAAGAGATATATTTTCCTAATTTTTTTTTGTAATTCTAAACTAAACAAACGACCTAATCAATTTGATGAAACAATCTTTGCTAGACTGTCCAATGAAATAAACACAATTTAATTGTAATTTTCTTTTTCAAAGTCTAATAAAGGTCAATTTTCACAATTACATATTTACATTAGATTGGAAACCTGTTTCACTAATATGGTAATAGAATAAAATAAAATAAAATAGTATAAGTGGTGATTAATGATGTTAATTTATTTTGTGCAACAGTTCAAATTCTAAGTTCATAAGAGTTTTCACTTTTACATGTTTTAAAAATACTTGATGCAACACGCTTTATGAATATGGTCAACAAAATAACGACACGTATTCTATTGACCATTTTAGTGACACGTGACAAGGCACGCTGTGACTTTTCTATTGTTGTCTTGGTGCAATTCCTTACTCCTTTTTATGCTTTTCTTGCACCCAAAAAAGAAGAAGACAATATTTATATAAAAAAATGTTTCACAATTACATATTTACATTAGATTAGAAACCTGTTTCACTAATACGGTAATAGAATAAAGTAAAATAAAATTGTATGATTGGTGATTAATGATGTTTTAATCTATTTTGTGCAACGGTTCAGATTCTAAATTCATAAGAGTTTTCACTTTCATAAGCTTTAAAAATACTCGACGCAACACGCTTTATGAATATGGTCAACAAAACAACGACACATATTCTATCGAACAATTCACTAACACATGTCAAGACACGTTGTGAGTTACTTATTGTTGTCTTGGTGCAATTCCTTCTTCCTTTTTATACTTTTCTCGCACCCAAAAAAGAAAAAGACAATATTTTTATAAAAAATGTTTCACAATTACATATTTACATTAGATTGGAAACATGTTTCACTAATATGGTAATAGAATAAAATAAAATAAAATTTTATGATTGGTGGTTAATGATGTTAATCTATTTTGTGCAACAGTTCAGATTCTAAGCTCATAAGAGTTTTCACTCTCACACGTTTTAAAAATACTCGACGCAACATGCTTTACGAAATGATTAACAAAACAATGACACGTATTCTATCGAACAGTTCACTGACACGTGTCAAGACAGGCCGTGACTTTCCTATTGTTGTCTCGGTGCAATTCCTTCTTCCTTTTTATGCTTTTCTCTCACCCAAAAAAGAAGACGACAATATTTATAAAAAAAATGTTTTAAACAAAAAAAAAATATTAAATATTTTACACAATATTTAGATGATGTAGATTTTCTTAAATTTAAATATAAACTTGGCCGTTATGTTGAGACTTGTGAGGTCCATCAAGAATCCTGTTTCAAATCATTCATTTTATAAAGTTTTCAATGTTATATCATTTATGAAAAAAATTAAGTCAATCGGATAATATTAAATTTTTTATTTTATTGCATTAATCCCTAAAAAAATGGATAAACATGTTTTTAAAAATAAACCATTCCATGAGTCCGAACATTTAGATTTGAATTTGAGAGTACACTCTATTCAAAATGACATCAAATAGCATCAAATTTCAATGCAAATAAATATTTATTTATATCTTTTTGTAAAATATAATACCGTATGCAGATTAATGAAATTTACAAACATTTATTGCTCATACATATGTACATGTACTAATCAGTTTTTTTGTATTTAAAAATATATTATTTTTATGATATTTTAAATTATTTGCTGTATAATTTTGTTATAAAAAAAATATAAAAAAAAAAACCATTTTCTATTGTATAAAGAGTGTGTGTGTACCACCTCTCTCCTAATTGGATGCCCAGATTTCCAGCTTTGCAAGACGTTGTGAGACTACAAATTTGCTCATAATTAGATGTCTTCTGAGTCTATTTAACCTCAGTCCACTTTCTAAAAATGAAAAAAAAAAAAATAGGTATTAGGTACACAAAATTTTTGACAAAAAAAATTATATTTCAAAAATTAATTGTTATATAATGGAGTCCACTGAATCTCAATTACACATTTATATTTTGGATATTTTCTATGTACGAATTATGTATATATAGAATTTCTCGAAATTTGGAAAGATATATACACTGAATTCAAATAATACAATTACCTTTCAAATTTTTAATAAATTTATTAATTAATTTACTAATCTAACACTATTTTCTGTCCACATTCAAAGATCCAATTTTATGAATTGAAATTTTGGTGATAGTAACCCAACCAAAGTTTATTGGAAGACGGGGTGGGGATTTGTCTCGGATTTATTTTAATAATTTGAACTATTTATATTGTAGGATTTCTCAAATAGATTACTTATATAAAAATAAATAAACGGTTAACATGATTTTAATAATTTTCTTGAAATAGTTAAAACTTGATCATGAGATGAGACTATATTTTTGATACGTTCGATAAATTCTATAATATGAATGGTTCATAGTATAAAAAATATTAGAAATTTATAATAAACATAGAAATGTCTAGATTGTGATAATTTAATTTGTAATTTATTAGGACTCATAAATACTAGAGCACACCCCGAGTCCATGTGTAGTAGTGCAAGGAATACAATCCCACCTACGTCGGTTTATACCAATCCATATCAACAAGAAGGAGGGAAGTTATATCATTTTATAAAGAATTCAATTACTTACCCATTTTGGTTTTGAATCTATCTATATATACATGCATAACATCTTGTCTTTCCTTCTCACCTTCTCTCTATCTATTCTTCTTCTCTGCACAATGACTGTTGTTGGTGAGGATAGCTACAACAGCAGAGACCTCTTCTTTGACCACAATTTTGACAAAAAATCTAGTAGTTATTATGAGGGCCAGTTGTGCATACCACAAGACTCACTAGAGGATTTGGAAATTTTTGATAATTTTTCAGATGATAATATCTCTCTGAGTGAATTTTTATTGATCCCAGAACAGGCAACCCCTGGAGTGGAAGATTGTCCTCTTCCCTTTTCTTCCACGGAAGCCAAGCCAGAACAACCAGAAGAGCGACAAGTCGAACACAATAAGATGGTACTATTTGGAAACTTGGCCCTGGCACTGTGAACAATCTAGGTTGTATATTGGATTCGTCGCTAATGATATCATCCCTCACAAATACCCAAAACTCGTTTGGGATGTTCTTTAGATTTTTTATAAAAATATGTATTTAATTGGTTATTTTGATTTTTTTATTATTTTATTTCTTTATTATATCATTTAAAAGTTCTTGTCAATGGCAACAGATTTTTTTATTTTTTATTTTTAAACACCGTAAGCTAAACATCATAATAAGACCAGTTTTGCTAGGGATTGTTTTGAAAATTGATTATTTTAATCGCTTTTTTGACTTTTTACAAAAATAAAATAAAATAAAAAGGAGAGGTGACTTTTTGATTTTTGCTTATTGCCAAAACAATTCTCAGTCTAATAAAAATATTTTTAGAAATTTTATTGTAATGGTTCTAAAAATTGGCCATTATATATGTTATGGTATCACGTTAATGATTTTTAAAATTTTATGCCATTACGATACATTCTGACCGATTGAACAATGGCCGCTTTAGGTAGCATAACGTTCTATGACCGATTGAACAATGGCCTAAGCAACGCTTTTGGTGGCATATAACGTTCTATAATAATTTTTCTAACACTAATTCTACTGCAGGAGCCCAAGGCAAAAGTAGGGCGGAAGAGAACGAGAAGCAAAAGAAGGCGAATAGTGGACTCATGGGGCCGAAAAATTCCAAACAATTGGTCATTATCGGAGAAGCAAAGTCCGAGTGGTGGTGAGAAGAAGAGGAGGAGGAGGTGCAGGCATTGTCAATCGGAGAAGACGCCACAATGGAGAATGGGGCCGGAGGGGCCGAACACGTTGTGTAACGCATGTGGAGTGAGGTATAAGGCGGGGAAGCTCGTGCCCGAGTATCGACCGGCTAAGAGTCCCAGTTTTGATGCTTTGAAGCACTCCAACTTTCATAGGAAAATATTGAAACGCAGAGGCATATTATAGATAGGACACTCTTTTAAATTTGAAAAAGATATTAGAGATAGAATAGAAACTAATTTTATTCATTTACTTTTTTTATTTTTTTTATAATCTACATGTGTTTGTAAGGAAAAAAAAATGGTAAATTATTTTATAGCTGTAGCAAAACTGATCTTAGATTACTTACCTTAATTTGATTTGATTTGAAGTGAATTGTGTTCCTGTTTTGGTAAGTTGATTTGAAAATGTTGAGCAAATGGAAGAGTTGTGAATAAAGGGTTTGACTAGAAAATAATGTAACCGTGCTTACATTTGGAAATAGACTAAAGTTAAAAAGTCGTAAAAAGTTATACAAAAAAGAAGTCAATAGTTGAGTATTATTTTCTCTATTTATTTTTTATATTTTTGCTTTTTCTTTTAATTCAAAAAATCATATTATCAAACACTTCAATTTTTTTTATTTCATATTTTAACTAAAAAATGTCAATTCCCAAACAAATTGTATATACAATTGCAAAACATTATTATGTCTTTCAAGTTTAAACTTTCAATACAATTTTATCAAAAATTTAAAGGGGACTTGCGTCTAGATCCTAATAAATAGATTCATTATCCAATTGGTCACATGATAATTAATGACATTTTTTATTAAACACTATTAAAAATTTTCATTAATTGTTAATTTTCAGTCATAGTTTAAAAATTATCATCAAAAAATAACTAATTATAAATTTTAGCGACAGTTTAAAAAAATCTTCACAAAAGGTCACTAATTTACAACTTTTAGCAATAGTTTGAAAAAATTGTTATAAAAAAAGTCACTAATTGTAAGTTGTAGTGACAATTTATAAAAATTGTAATAAAAAGTCACTAATTACCAATTTTTAGCGACATACGTAAAAAATGTCACAAAAAATTATTTTTAGCAACGATTTTATTATGACTTAGGTCTCGTTTGGGAATATGTTATTTTAGTAATTTTTAACTTTTTACGAAAAGATGTGCAAAAAAATAAAGAGAATAATGTGACAACTTATAATGACTTTTTAACTTTTTGGCTAAAACTGAAAGTTGCCAAACGAGGCCTTATTTTCAATAAGATTTGATGGGAATTAAGTCAAATTATTAAGATCTATTGGTAGTTTATCCAATTTTTTAAATTATTAAAAGCAATATATTATTCGTTGGATCTAAGGGAGCACGCAAATCAAATTAGATTAAGTGACATTCTATCGGTCATTTGTCCGAACTTAGACAAATTAAATAAATTTGGCAAATTGGGAAAAATAAATCCACAAAATTTATTTCGCATCCATCTGCCTTAGTTAACAGATGCAGATTGAATGAGCAGTGTCTGCTTAGTTAACTGATGCGAATTGAACCAACTTGGTAATTATTGTTTTGAACCTTTTTTTTAAACTATTTTCTTGTATTTTTTTTTATTTATTGTTTTGGGCCTCCAACTTTTTTTATTCTTTATTTTTTATAATAAAAAGAAGGCCTAACTATCATATTTTGTGGTCTTTTGGGAACACAGCTAAAAGTTGCATTCAGTACCTCCAAAAACGCAAGATCAGGGACCTAAAAACGCAGAACACCATTTGGCAACTTTAGCAGAAAGCAAGCTGTTAAATGACGTTACTACCCTCCGTGGTTAGAAGTTGAATCCTATGGTAAAATCATCTCATTTTGTGTTTTCTACTGCTTTCTTTATCACTTCTCCTTCTCACTGTTGCTACCGAATTGTCCAACAATCGGAGATGAAAGCATCCACCACCGAAGCTGCCTCTGGAGTCGCCGTCCACATCCTCGCCGTCGATAGATCTGCAGCATCAAGTAAGCACAGAACCCATGTGCCGTTGTTTTCTGGTTCAGAGTTATTTCATAAATGTATTCGTCGAAATCTTGCACATCTGCTTTCTTGAACACTTGTATGCTGTAATTGTTGAGGATTCTGGCTTCCACTTCAATGATCTTGCCCTCTATCATATTTGTGGGGATATATTTTCTGAGTACCAACACGTGGCAAGGTGACGCCGACGTGTCAGCCGAGGTGCCACGTGTCCTGGTTGTGACGCCGAGGTGATCTCGGCAAGGCCGAGGTTATTTCCGAAGATATCAGAATCTGAGATAAGTGGATAAGGGACAAGAGTCCTAGAATGAAAAGGGAACTCAACCTGGATGAGGGACAAGAGTCCTAGAATGAGAGAAGACTTCAGTTTGTATTAAGATAAGACTCTTAGAGAGTTTATCCTAATCTTACTGGGAGTCCAAGATTAGCAGTAATCCTGAGTCCATAGAAGTTAGGCTACCATTGAGACTAGGTTTATGCTGGCTATAAAAGAGAGGCACCCCCATGGGTCTAAGGTATGCTTTTTAGGCTCAAGCTTGTGAGTTGAATAATTGATTATCTTTGAGAGATATACTGACTTGATCGTCGGAGTTCCCCCGGGTGGACGAACCACCGCGGGATTCTTATATTTCTGTTGCAGATCAGTCAGGTGCCATCTATTCTGCCAGTGCTCTCCAGCTGAATTACTGAGTTGGCAGTGTGGTCGGAAAATTTCCCATACAATTTGGCACCGTCTGTGGGAAAGAAAGAAGAATAGATGGCTAATAACGGACAGAAGGATCAGACTGGAAACAACGCTCCTGCTGGGAATGGGAGATCTGTCAACCTCGACGTTGAAGGGGACAATAGCAACATAGAAACTCGTGACCAGAGTCACGGAGTGAAAGACGCCGGCCAAGAAGGTAACGCACCAAAGACAACAAATCGAAGCGGATACTACAACGAAGATGACCTCCAGGTATGGAAGGATAGATACTTGCGGAGGAACGAAGACCCTTCCAAAAGGGATGCAAAGACAGGGGGTATGAGCGCTCCCAAGGAGATAACATTCAAGTATAGAAGAACTCATCCTGAGTGAGTAGATCCCGGATTCCAGATCCTGGATCCTGGATCCGAGAAGACATGGTCTCAGCCTAGACAAGTAGGCCAGAGAAGACGAGAGATCAACCTAAGTGAGCAGATCCCGGATTCCAGATCCCGGATCCTAGAAGACATGATCTCGGCCTAGATGAGTAGGTCCGAGAAGAGAAGAGCTCAACCTGAGTGAGCAGATCCAAGATTCTAGCAGACAAGATCTCGGCACTTAAGTCCGAAAAGAGAAGAGCTCAATGAGCAAATCTCAGATCCCAGAAGATAAAAAAGAAAACACACAAGGTTGGACTGCAGTTAGCCAGGTTGAAGACCTTTTATGTAACAACCCTCATTTTGACTTAGTCATACTTGCATACATTTGTGGATGATCTTGTGTTAATATATGCATTTGCAAATCTTGTCTAGTTTTGCTTGAATGATTACTTGCACGCTTTGTTCTTGTCTGGTGTGTTGCCGAAGTCATCTTAAGCCTAGACACCTTCGAAACCTTTGTCACTTAGAACTATCTTGGAACCCCGTTGGTTGACATCCATCTTCACCCTGGCATATTGGCCGAGATGTCACCATCTAGGCCGAGGTGCGCGTCGCCTAGGCCGAGACGTGCATCATCTGGGCCGAGATGTTAATTTGTAGACGTTCTAGATCCTTGATCCTTGCATAAGTGATTTTGTTCCTGGAATGGTATGACCTAGACCGAGGTGTGGCACATCTAGGCCACGGTGTGGCACAGTTTAGTCAAGTGTTGTCCTTCCAAGCCGATGTCCTTGCCCCTTGTTGTCGGAGTCCTGTTGTTAGCCGATGTCGTTACTTGCCGGTGTGTTCTTGCCGCCTAGCTTGTTGAGTACACTTTGTCTTGGTCTTGTCTTGTCAAGTCAGTCACCTTTTTGAGTTGAGCGAATCAGCCGATGCCACGTGTCCCGACATAGGGATTAAGTCAGTGATTGTCGTGAGAAACATATCATTTGTATCAAGTCTTACCTTTTAGAGAGAGAAACTCTAAGAAGAAGAAGGAGAAGTTTGAGCTAAAGCGGGTGACTTCCAAGCTTGATCGTTAGAGCTTGAGCCGTTAGATTCGAGTTTTGAGGACTTGGACTTGCCTTGACCCCGACGTTTGAAGAACTAGGTGAGTGGTATTTCTAATAAAGCTATGTTATAACGTTTTGATAAAGACTTTGCTTTGCTTTGTTTTGAAAGTATTTGTTAAGCATGAATGATTGTCCTTAGTTTTGTATCTCGTATTATACTTGCTTGAATGACCTTCTCGTTTGAAAGTCCCTCATGCTGGAGGACTCTAAACTTTCGCAGCACATCTTGTTTGAAAGTCCCTCGTGCTGGAGGACTCTAAACTTTCGTAGCACATCTTGTCTTGAAAGTCCCTTGTGCTGGAGGACTCTAAACTTTCGCAGCACATCTTGTTTTGAAAGTCCCTTGTGTTGGAGGACTCTAAACTTTCGTAGTACTCTCGTGTTAGGAGGCTATGAGCCTTTGTAACATAGGTCCTTTGTGCTAGAGGACTCTAAACTTTTGTAGCACCCTTGTTTGAGATATCTCCCTTGTTTTGTTTTGTTTTGCCACTGACCGTTTACCGCGTGGGTTTGTTTGTCCGGAATGTCATCATTTGTAATATGTTGATGCTAGTAAGCATCCCTTGAAGCTTTGAAGATTTGTTAGATGGACGAGGTCCATCCTTTGTTATGTAAAGTTTTGACATGTATTGTTTTGAAAAGACTTCGGCTATTATTCATGCAAGCCCTTTTATTATCTATATCATTCACTGAGTATCCAAGCTCACCCTCTCTATATATATGTAGGTGATGAGCAAGAAGGCGATGACGCCTAGATGTGATTCGCGAGCTTATTTTGAATTTTTGGTTATGTCGGCTTGACTTGTATTTACGTCGAATCTTGAAAATTATGCTTCTCGGCTTGTAATACTTGTATTATGCACACGTCGGCTTGAGAAGCCTTTTGATCAAGATGTAATTTGTACTTTGCTTCTTTTGTAACTAAGTTGTAACCCATGTGAACATGTTTGCTATTTCATTTGACTTACGCACAGCTCTTATGGACTAATCTGATT